GGCCGCCAGGGGCTAACCCTGGGGAGCTGGATCCGGCCCGTGGGCTGCCATTTGCCCACCACTGACCTAGAGGCCAGACCAGGCGCCAACATGATAAATGGCACCCCCTTCTCTTGAGGGAACCCCCAAGTGCCTCTTCCTCACCCCGCCACCTGCAGGGACTAAACACCAGATGACACCTAAAACCAAGAATTTATTTTAAAAAACACAACTGTCCATTTAAAATGGAGGTAAAGGGGGGCTTCGCAGGCGTCCCCGGGTTGGGGGCTGCTGCAGGGGACACTGCTCTGGCGAGGGCGTGGCTCTGGGCTGGGCGAGAACTCCTCATTACTCTGAAGTCATAGGAGCACGGCAGCGAGTCCGAGCGAAGGACGAGAGCCCCATGCGCCCCCTGGAGTCAGTACTGGATGTACCGCTTCTTGGGTGGGAGGTGCGCACTCCAAGCATTGTCCATGGGCCGCTTGGCAGCCAGCAGGAGGGTGGAAACGGAGGCCAGGCCTCTCTTGCGATTGCTCTTGGGGGGCGGCTCGCAGCCCCTGCCTGGAGCCTCAGTGGCTTCCCTGGCAGGCGACGTGCTCGCCGAGTGAGCGTGAGCCCCCCTACTGCTCCTGCAAGAGCCTCGTCGTCTTGGCCAGGGAGTGAACTGCCGGTAGAAAGATTCCACCTCCGAAATGTCTGCCAGCTCGGTCATTGCCATGGCATCTACCAGGTGACTGTACTCCAGAGGGACCGGGCTTCTCACATCTTCCTCCAGCTGGGGAGATGCCGCTTTTCTTTTCCATACCTCGACATGCATCTTCCTGTGGGGGGGTAACAACCGCGGCCTCTTCCTCAGAGAGGAGCCCAGCAGCAAGTCCGATGCACAGATCTGGAGGAGCTCCTCCTCCGTGTCCCCTTCCCAGGCCAAGGGCAGGCTTGCCAGCTCCTTGTAGAAAGGACCTGGGTCTTTTGCCCAGGGTTGTAGTTCAGCGGGAGTTCTGGGTGTGTGCCCGGAGCAGCCCCCAGGTGCCACAAGGGACACAGGGGGGGAGCCCGAGTGGTCCAGTGCAGTCACCATGGCCAGGAGGTAAAAGGCATTGTCACCAGGGCTGGAGCTGGGATGCAGCAAGGCTCCCCTGAGGGAGAAAGGTACCGGCTCAGCCCCGGGCCACGGGCCCTGGGTCGGAATGCTGCTGGGGGAGGGGCCGTTTGGCCCTTGTGGAGAGATCGGGCAGGGCTGGAGTTTCAGCTTTTCATTCCAAGCTTGTAGGAACTTCTCCCTGCAGGACCTGGGCCCATCTAGACCACTCCTCCAGCACCCAACCTTCTCCACCCGCATGGCAGCTGTGCCCGGGGCCGGGGGTGCCTTTGAGGTAAAGGGCGAGAAAAGAGAGCAGCCAATCCCTCTGAGAAGGAGGAGAGCGGGGTTTTGGGCAATCCCTTTGGAACTTCCTTCCCCTGCTCTCTGATCACTACCAGGGATGGTCCCGCTGTTGCCAGGAGACTGCAGGTTCTAGAACAAATGCTTCAGCAGGCAGCTCTTGGCCCAAGGCCCTGGCATCTGTAGCTATATCAAGTAGAGGTGCTGGCCCCTCCAATGTCATAAGCTCTGTGATGTCATTGCGACCTCCCCTGGCTGCTCCGTGTGCCCTGCTAGAGTAAGAATAAATCCACATGACTGAATGGCACAGGCTGCTAATTTACAGAGAAATAGTCACTCGCCAATGCCACAGCCGTGAATCCTCCAACACTAGCTCTCCGTCAGCTAGCTGCAATGTATTTGAAGAAGCAACTCCCACCAGTTCTTGAAGGCTCTCTTCATTGATGGATAAAACTCATGGCCAGGCCTTTCAAAGCAACCACAAGGAGTTTGAGCACCCAGTTCTCATTGAATTTCAGTGGGGAACTGGGCAATTAACTCCCACCCTATCTCACTTCAGTGAAAGGTCTGTCAGTACCATGCACCTCAAATGTGCAGACATACACACGCTTCAAGGGTTGGAGCAGGGGCTGTTTAGAGTCAATTCAGGCCCTGTGCCTCCATTTCTCCTTCTGGAAAACGTGGCTACTACTTTGTCCGCGGTCATGTGGGACCAGTCAGCTTTAACACTGCCCATTGTGAGCTTTGGGAAATATCTGCAATATACTAAATGCCAAATGGTATCCTACCTGGTCATGCAGTGGAGAGACAGCAATTGCTTGATAAAACAGTTTTTAAGGTGTATTTTTCACTGCAATGAAAAATTAGACAAGAGAGACTTCAGTTCTTGTCTCCCCCAGCCCATTAGCCTCCCCTGGGGATTTTCAGGTGCCTCCTCATAATTATTCAAATCTTATTTTATGGAATTTAACTTAACATTTTGATTCTCTTATTCATAGAGAACTTTGCTGCCTCCCCATGGATTAGAGGAGCCACTACTCATGAGAGAATAAGCTCACTGCACAGCAGTAGTGGGCAATAACATTCGCAGGGGGACCACTTAATGAATTTTGGTATGCAATTGTGGGCTGGCTCAACCTGTGGAAGGGGCGGGGCCTGGGTGGAAGGGGCGGGGTGGGGCTGGGAGACTAGCCCCGCCTCTACTGCTGGTCAAAGAGGAACAGAGACTGCTCCCTTTCCAGGGTCAGCCAGGGAGCTCTTGGAATTAATAGCCAGAGAGCCTGAGCTGGGTCCTATAGTTCAGAGAGGACCTGGGAGACTTCAGCGAGGACCCTAATAAAGCAAAGCACAGCCGGCCGCACAGTGTCACACAGTCTTCCTCCAAAAACTTCACACGGTGTTTCAGCCCAACCACCTGGCCCTCTGGTCAATCTCTGGGCAGGAGCAACAGGGGACAAATGGCCAAAGTTCCACTGCGACAGGATCACCCTGGCCCAATTGAGCTACAGACAATTAGGCAACAAAGCACTCCTGAAATATTAAAGGGGGCTGTTTTCCAACGTGTGTTGCTTAATTGTTTGGGTTTCCTCTTGCAGCCATGAATACTTTATCTGACCTCCTCAGGTTTCCTCTGGGGATGAGGAGCTTGGATGCCTTAAAAAGGCAGGGAGGAAGAGAAAGAGAATGAGGCCTTATCGGCGCAGAGAGTGTGTGTGTGTGTTGGGTTGGGGGGTGCATATGCTAAGGAAAGAACTTTTTCTTTTAGCACTAGGCAGCATGTGACATAGAAGGGAGCTGGCAGGCCCACCAACAGGGAGCAGGGAGGGGGAGCAAAGGGGGCAATTGCCCTGGAGCCCAGAGATTCAAAGGGCATGGCTGGAGCCCCAGACCCTATACACTGCTGTGGGGGTGCCATGCTGGGGTGCAGGGCCACGTACTCCAAGCAGTGCTGAAGCCCCACTCCTTCTGGTAGCCCAGAGCCAGCCCCCACTCCATGTTGCCCAGGGGCTGGCAGAGTATGAATGAACCGAGGGTGAGGGCTAGTTAGCAAAGGAGTTTTTAACCATCTCATCAATGCAGACTTTTAACCAGCAGACTCAATTGACTTTTAATGGCAATTTCATTGACGGGAGTTTTGTCAATGGAATGGGTGTTTGGCAATGGAAAGTTGGATCCATGTGCTGTAAGGCTGTGTCTTCACTGGCATGAATTTCCGGAAATGCTTAAAACGGAATACTATTCCGTTTTCAGTTTTTCCAGAAAAGGAGCGTCTACATTGGCAGGCTGCTTTTCCGGAAAAGCCCTTTTTCCGGAAAAGCGTCTGTGGCCAATGTTGACGCGCTTTTCCGGAAAAGACTACTGGGCTGTCTACATTGGCCCATTTCCGGAACAGTGTTCCAGAATAAGGACTTATGCCTGAGCGGGAGCAGAATAGTTTTTCCGGAATAGCGGCTCATTTTGTACAGTAGAGCGTCAGTGTAGACAGCTCGCAGCTTATTCCGGAAAAGCGGCTGATTTTCCGGAATAAGTGGCCCAGTGTAGACACAGCCTAAGATCCATGCACAATCTTATTTTAAAAAAACAGAGGTCTAATGCAAAGGATCGAATACATGACAAATGAAGCCCTTTTAGGAAAGAGGGAATCTGGAGGACTCCTGTGCAGCATGGCTTCCTTTACAATATTTCCTTCTTCGCTTCCCCCTCCTGCAGCTGTCTCCCATTGCTCCTGGGCTTTACGGAGCCACAGAATCTCAGTTCTGAAATGGCTCTTCCTGCCCCCCCAGTGCAAAGGATCTGTAAAGCCAGATCCTACTCCCTTCAGATAGGAATACTGAGGGGGTGCACAGCTGGCAAAGGAAATCTACTTCCTAGGTCCCATATGTGTAGCTCACACCAGGCATGGTCATAGAATCATAGAACCATAGAACTGGAAGAGACCTCAGAAGGTCATCAAGTCCAGCCCCCTGCTCTAGGCAGGACCAATTCCAACTAAATCAACCCGGCCAGGTGGCAGAGCCTCTCTATGCTTTTGGCCATTCCTGGGGGCCAGAGGCAACTGGTCTTAAATCCAAATAGCCCAGAGGCTGCTCTAACTTATACATGGGCCAAACTGACCCCCAAATGGAGACACTACTAAAAGTGGCATGAAACTCTCTTTGCCCTACCCCAGAAGCAGGCCTGCTGTTTTTTCTCATTGTTCTTCACCCTTACAACCCACTGGCTGGGTTTGGTGGCAGATGAGGTACTGCCTCATGGGGGGGGTGGGAGGGAAGAGACAGAATAAGACCCAGGGTAAAATGTTTTAGAAGTTGTCTGCACTTGAGCGCTGCCTTTATAGCTCTTGGTGCCAGGTGCTGTGTGGGGACCATGCTGCTGAGGAGCACAGATCCCTGCAGTGGGATCCAAAGCAGATCAAGGAGCTGAGCAGCACTGGTAAAATGCCTGTGGAACGGGTCCCTGTGCAGTGCAGGTGAGTTACAGAGCCCTGTGTAAAGTTCTGACCTACAGGGGCCATTTGACTAGGTTCCTGGCTAATAACTTTACATAGGGCTTGACAGAGGAGGCTGGTGTTAACCATCCACACTGAAGAAGTCAGGAAATGGAGGCATGGAGAGATTAAATGACTTGCCCAAGAACAAATAGTATATCAGTGGCAGAGCTAGGAATTGAATCAGCTCTGCTGCCTCAATAGGCTGGTGCTGAACTAGCTGCTCAGGGCTTGCTTTGCTGGTTTGGATTATACATACCCTCCTCCAGTGCTCATGGGGACACACAGATTTCCACACACCCCTTTTATTTGTAAATAGACACCACTACAGTGTCAGGGACATGGGAAGGGGATGTAAGTGATAATCCACTGACTAGCTGCTCCTGGTAGAGCAAGACCTCTAATAAGCACACGTCTACAAAGCAGTGTTATTTTAGATGTAGTCCACAGCTACACTACAAGCAGTTATTTCAACATTAGAAGAACTTCTTACTCAGACTCCTCTATCCCTCATTTTACGAGGAGTAAAGGAAGCTGGAGAAGTGCTCTAACTCAGACTTCCTGCTGTGCAGACAGCACCAAAAGCTGAAATAAGCTATTTTGACCTAAGCCATGCAATTGGCATAGCTCAAGTTGTGTAGCTTATTTCGGCTTTAACCCTGCTCCGTAGGGGAGCCCTAAGAGATTAAACCCTCTAAGCACACCTACTCAAGCCCAGCTCCTCATGCAAAAGCTAATCACATGCTACCTGGAAAGTCCCAAAGGCATTAGGCCCAGGCTGTTACTGACAAAGGACACAGGGGAGGGAGCTGCTTTTCTGTTACAAAATGTCTAACCAGCTGGATTTCCAAAGGAAGCAGGGTTATTCCACATCAGAGTTTTAAGCCTCCCAAAAGCAGCTTAGAACTTCTGCAGGGCTCATAAGGGCTCCATGGCACAGGTGACTGAGCAACCTGCATTTTCAAAACACCAATCCATGGCCAGGGTGGGGTGGAGGAGGGAATCAGTGATAAATAACAAATGAATTAAAGAAGGTCATGAAATAATTAACTAACCTGTTGTTCTACAGCCCCTTGCTTAGTGAGCTAATGAGGAGAGTAACATCCATGGCGGGAGTTAGGAAAAGTAAGTTTTTTAAGCTCTCCAGCTCCACATCCAGTTTTTGCTCTTAGGCAGCACAGAATACGAGTGGCAGCAAGGGGTACTTGCCAGGAGATAGGAAAACAGGCCCCACCCAAAACACAAATAGCTGCTGTTAAGCATCCAACATCTTATCTTAACACTGCTAATCACGTTTGGGGTTAAAGCCACTTGCCCCCTCCCCCGTGGGCCCCACCTAAGGTATCTTGTCTAATCAGGAGGGACACTTCTAGAGAGAGCTGGGGGATTTTGCCTTAAAGGGCCAGGCCAGCATTGTCTTCAGAGGAGCTATGCAAAACAGAAAGAACAAGGCTGCTAGTTTGGGTATTTGGTGTACAGAGAGGAACGGCATGGAGCATGTCTAGGCTGCACAATCCCAATGCGCACACACAAAAAGAATCACCTCTGGGAAATTTAGAAGGCGAAGCTCATTACACTGAGTGTTTGGCACTGGAAAGGGGATTTACTCACTAGCAGGCTCCCTCCACTGGAGGGGATCCTTGATCAGCAGTGAGATTCTCCTCTTGGGAGAGCTGTATCCAAAGAGAGCGAGATGAGGCTTAGCTGAAAAGCAGCTGGGTGTGCACCTGGTGCTTATGTTTGTGTCACAAGTGCCTGTCTGTCCCAGTACATCGCTGCTGCTGTACCCCACTCCTGTCCTGATTGGAAACCCAGCTGCACTGCTGGCCTCCTCCTCAGCAGGGACTCCCACGAGGCCACAGCTGGAGGGGGGGAAAGAGAATGGGACAGAGGACACCCCACCCTGTCCACTTGGGCCCTGAGATGGAGCTGAATTCTAAAGGCCCAGAATCCTGGAGCCATGCACGGGGTGGCATCAACCCTTCTCCGCCAGGTCGCCTCGGAGCTGGTAGCCTCTTGGTGACTTTCTGAGCTGACCTTCTCTTTCAGACTCTACCACCCCAGGTCTGATACTGGCTCGGGCTCAAGTGAAATCCCTCATCTCCTCTTTCCAAGCCCCTGCTAACCAGCTGGTGCCACGTCTGGTTGAAAAGTTCAAGGGTGCCATGAGGAAGCTTGAATTATTGATGCCAGCTTCCCTCCACATGCCCATGATCACTCATTGCCTAGGCATAGCTCAGCCAGGCTCAGCATTAGACTTCACAGCTGGGCAGGCTTGCAAGGACACTGGGCTGGGGTACGAGCAAGAAACAGGGCACTCAAAGCCTCATCATACATTTGAATGTGGCCTGTCAGGTGTGCTGCTGAGCTCTTCCCTGGGTCCAGGAAGAACAAACCTGGTGAGTCGTGCAGCGGGCTGCAGAGCTAGCGATAAACAAGAAGTTTGTTCAAATCTTCCAGGTAAATGAAAACATAAACCACTGACGTACAATTTCAAGTGTATCCATTTAAGATGAATAGCTGCACAGTGTCCCCAATGGGATATTATGGGCTGGTTAGAGTGAAACAGATCCAAAGTGGTGGGGGGAGGAAAAATTCGACTTGTAATTATTTGGAACACTTTACTTGTAGGAATGCAACATCTCTGCTCTTCTCTTTGTGTTCGAGTGACTGCCATATCGCTTACTCACATCTTGCTTCTTCCTGCTCAGATAAGATGGGCATTTCCTTCTCTTCCAGTGCAGATGGAAACACTGAAACTGTTTTGTTGTCCTGATCCGAGCATATTCATGTAGTGAGATGGGGAAACGTATGGGCAGGTTACTGCAGCTGTCACAAGTTTATCCCAGTCAAGCGCATGGTCCGGGTGGCTAATGAAAGCAACTGTGATTCTTAGCTTGATGTAGCCATTGATTTGTTTGGTTTTATTAGTTATGTGTTAGAGATGCACCTGAATTGAAACCCTGCATTTGAATAGTCTTGAGACAGGAGTTTGTTCAAACTCAGTCCTGTACTGGTAAGGTGCTTTTAGTGTAGACATAGACCAGTTCCTTGAATAAAATTAAGGCTAAGAAAAGTTATGTACTTATTCCCACAATATTAAAAACTAGGGGTCACCAAAGGAATTTAATAGGCAGCAGGTTTAAAACAAACAAAAGGAAGTTTTTCTTCACTCCGTACACAGTCAACCTCTGGAACTCCTTGCCAGAGGATGTGGTGAAGACTAGGACTTTAACAGGGTTTGAAAAAGAACTAGAGAGATTCTTGGAGGTTAGGCCCATCAGTGGCTATTAGCCAGGATGGGTAGAAATGGTGTCTCTAGCCTCTGCTTGTCTGGAAATGGGTGACAGGAGAGGGATCATGTGAGGATTACCTGCTGTGTTCCCTCCCTCTGGGGCATCTGATATTGCCCACTGTCGACAGACAGGATAGGGGGCTGAATGGTCTGACCCAGTATGGTCGTTCTTATGTTCTTAAGGGCTATGTCTAGACTGGCCGCTTGAATTTCCACAAGAACACTGACTTCCTACTGTCTGAAATCAGTGCTTCTTGCGGAAATACTATGCTGCTCCCGTTTGGGCAAAAGTCCCTTTTGCGCAAAGCTTTTGTGCAAAAGAGCCAGTGTAGACAGCTCAGATTTGTTTTGCGCAAAAAAGCCCCGATCGCGAAAATGGCGATCGGGGCTTTTTTGCGGAAAAGCGCATCTAGATTGGCACGGATGCTTTTCCGCAAAAAAGCCCCGATCGCGAAAATGGCGATCGGGGCTTTTTTGCGGAAAAGCGTCCGTGCCAGTCTAGACGCTCTTTTCCGAAATGCTTTTAATGGAAAACTTTTCCGTTAAAAGCATTTCCGCAAAATCATGCCAGTCTAGATGCAGCCAAGATGTGTCTACACATCTGGTTACTGGTATGGCTGTACTGGTTACCCACAGCTATACTGGCAAGTCTTTTCTAGTACATTCATGGCTCTGTTCCCCTTCCCATATGAAAACAGCTTTTCAGTATAACTGCATTCTGTCACTAACCGTTGGGGCTTGGTGAAAACTGAATAGCCCTTGTTTGTGGATAAGTTAGAATGAAAAGAGCTATAGACAGGCCCATATGCAGTAATTTTGGGGGTTGCTTTTTTTGTAAATGTGGATGGCAATTTTTTTTAAATATAAAAGAGTTCAAAATAGTCATGCAGTGAGTGTGCATGAGAGAGGCTAATGAAAAATTTGAGTGGAAACAGTGATTGGTAAAATGATTTTGCTACAACATACTGAAAATGTAGAGAGTAGTCAAAGTTTTCTAGAAATCACCTTCTGGGATCCTGCTGTAATATTGTAAGTGAAGAAATATTCCAGTCTTCATCTTCAGTGTTTTTCAGTTAAGACTATATATAGGTTAGTAGCAGTGAAATCGATTTTAGGTAACAGCAAACTTTTCTTCATGACCGTAACTTCACAGCAGTGTCTAAGACATGTCCATAATAACTTTCCATCTCTACGGAGAGTTTGAAGCTCCAGTCTTCTAGGGAACTTCCAGGCAAAGATATCCACCACCCGTGGGAGGGGCTGGTGGCTGCCCTGCTCCTGCTGCAATGGCCCAGTCCTGCCCCTGGCCTCACTCCTGGAGAAGGGCAGAGGGGAAATCCGCCTCAGCCTTCCCCCAGCTGGCCAGAGCATGGGGGAGGGAGGCTCAAGCAACATGCCACCCCAGCCTTCCCCAACCCAGCCGGAAATGGCCCCATGGTGGACCATAAAGGGGTACATTTGCATACTTCCACCTCCCCCCTCCCCCTCCCGCATATGGGCCTGATAGATTAGGGGCCTTCAGGATTCCAGGAGAGGGTATGGAATTATCACAGCAACAAACCCACGTGTTCCAGGTGAAAGGAACGGGACATAGAGGCCGCTGGAAACTTGGTTTATTTCATCACTTTTGATGGGGCCAGGCTGCCCCAACTTTTGGATACGGCTTTCCTGGGGAGGACTTAGCAATTCGATCCCGTGTGGCAAGGGGCATCAGGGGCCTCACTGCTGTATGCTGGAACTTCAGACTTTATGTCCCAATCATGGGGACTTCTTTTTCTGCTCCTGAAAGATGTTCTGGCCAGGCCAGACAATGAGAGGGAACTAGGCAGCATGAGCACCGCAGGGCTCTGATCTGAGCAATCCCTGATGGTAGGAATCTCAGCATCCTACTATCCCACTCCTCCCTACTTGCTAGTGTGTCACTTTCCTCCCCCTCTTATGTTTTTACCTCTTTTCCAATTTCCCTTTTATACCTTTTCAGTGTCGAACTGAGTCAGCCAGGACAAACTTAATCTTGGCTGTGAAAGTTTGGTTCTGGATCCAAATTGTTGCAGTTCAGGCTAATCTCTAGTTCTGGGGCAGGTCAAATCTTGAGCCTGATCCATTATATATTAGGTCTCTGTTCCATTGCAGAAAACAAAACCGGGAACTGCTGCATAAGTTACTACTATTTCCTCATGCCATTAGCTACCCTTAACCAATATTCCCTCTACATTTTTCTATGTGCAGAATAAACGTTGTTATGTGCACTGAGGCTTGTGCAAATGTGCACCATCAGTAGAAACACATGGTGCCAGTGGTAAGTGCTGTGCCAATCAGCTGGGTGGCATTTGACTCTCTCCTGGGTAACAGCCCAAATGTTCAGCTTACAGTGATCACTGTCCTTACCTGTTATTTACCCAGCTGCTGCTTACCCATTAACAAAGAAACATTGGAACAAAAGGGGAAAGAATAATAACAAATTATGAAACATAAAAACTGTACCTATGTTTTGGGCAGATAATGTGGCAAGTCAGATCACCTTGGCTTATAGAGGTTGGGTCAGATACATTTTCTTTCTATTTTGCAAGCACTTCAGTTCCTTATAGTTCTCCACAGTAAGACCAAGTGGATCCTTTATTTTTAGCCCCCAAATCAAATTATAGCTCATTCTGGTACAGTTATGATTCCTTGAACTGATGGCTGTGGCGTAGTGTGTGTATGTGGGGGGGGGCAGTTGTCCCCGGGCACCATACTAGGGGGGCACCAATTCACCATCGGCTGGAGCCTCCTTTCCATCTCTTTGCCCTAGCTGGACCCTCCTCCATCCACTGGTGGGTTATTGCATGCAGGGACCTGGCCCCAAACTGGAGGATGTGGGGGAAGATGCAG